TGTTATCAATGTTTTTGTTATTGGCGGTTTAACACTTGAATGTTGGGCACTTCAACGCTTGTTGGAAAAATATTATCACATAGGAAAAAGAAAAAATGTGGGATAATAAATTTTTGATTTCATGTTGTCAGTTTTCTTATGATGGGCGTTTTGACGTATCTGTTGATAAAAACCTACGCTATGTACCGTAAGTGCAAAATATACGTATACATATGGAAATCGATATGAGGCTAATGTGTATCGTTATTTCAACCAATATGTGCTTTAATATTTCCAAGCTGACACGTGTGCGAAATCCTTTTAACATTAAAAACAACTAAAATAGTATCAGTCGGTTTTGCCGACAGATGTATACCCCCAGCCTTGAGTTATGATTATTCAAACTGTGGACCCTTTATTGGGGAGGTTCCAAAGCAGTTGGACAATATTGATCAATTCGTGTCTGACTGCTAAAACATTACAAAGTGCCAGATTTGGACTGTATCGACTACTTTCTATACTTTATATGAAATATGTGCAAATTTTTGGAAACTGTGGAAATATGCGTCAGGTAACAGACACAGCGGGCCGAAGTATTCCGTTTTCATACTTCATCTAATACAGCTGAAAATATTGGTATATGCAAAATTTGAAGGAAATCGAACATTTATTTCCAATTTTGTGCGAAATAATAAATTCCGATATATTACATATTCATGTAATAATTTTTGTTAAGAGAAATATTAAGATATAGTAAGTTGTAAAGAATCGCCGACTTATTTCGCAAGATATGACACATACAATTGTGACCCTTTGTGGGTTATGTACCAGAAGGGGTTGGCAGATGTATATCATATCCACACAGATCTTGTGTTAGCAAAAATGTTTGTGTGTGGGGCATTTGAGGAGATGGATGGATGGATTTGGATGCTTATTTCGCGTTCTTTGAACGTTTTATTTTTCAAAAAATCTTGAACCCTATGTGGGGGAGTTACCAGAAGAAATGGCTCGATCTCTACCATATTTATAACAGATCTTGTGGTGACGGAAGTATCGAGATGTATTAATCCTGAATGGATCCGACGTTATTTTCGCGTTTTATGAGCTTCATGGATACTCTAAATTTTAACCCTTTATAGGGGAGGTACCAGAAGGAGGAGACCGATATGTCCCACCTTCACACCAGACCTTGAACATAAAAAAATATTGTGATGTGTGTAATTTGAAGACAATCGGACTATTACGTCACATTTTGTGAGAGTTATAATTATTCAAAATGTTGACCCTTTGTGGGGGAGGTACTTGATGGAGGGGATCGATACTGTCCATTTTCGCACTGACCAGCACTGATGCAAACAATAGGATTTGCAAAGTTGGAGCAAAATCGGATTATCCTTTCTCTTTCTGTGCAGTAAATTAGTTACTTTGAAAAAGTTGACATTTTGTGGGGGAGGCACCGATATTTCCCATCTCCGAACTCCGTCTAAGTTGTAATAAGTTTGTATCAAATCGGATACTCACTTCGAGAGTTATCGAGCGCACCAGCCAGCCAGACAGACAGATAACATTTGAATAATAAAATTTGAGTATATATGGTAGTTATAGCTATATCTGAACCGATCTTCACCAAATTTGACATACTGGCTTCTAGACTCAATTCGGTCATAAGTGCCGAATTCCATCCCATTTGGACAAATATTAGACGTTTTGGTGCACAATAAAAGTTAAATCGGACGAAGTTATATATGGGAGCTATATCCAAATCTGAACCGGTCTCGATAAAATTTGGCAAATGTATTTCTGAGCTGTATTTGGAATATTTCCCCAAATATGGTAGTTACAGAGGGCATATTACGGGTCTATCTCGTTTCCTTTTGTCTGTTACAAACAAATGCACAAAGTCATAATACCCTGACCACCTTGTGGTGTAGGGTATAAAAATGGGAAAGTTCGGCAGGGTCGAACTTTGAATACCCTTCACCATTTGGAACGAATTTGACAATATTCAACAAATAAAATCCGTTAAAAATTCTTTTAAAATCTTAAAAATACCAAATGTAGCGGTTATAGTAGGTCTAGGGAAAAAATCGGTGAATAATGTAGCTAAAATCATCAAAATACCGAATATAGGGAGGTCCTATTACATGGGGGCTATATCAAAACGTGGACCTGCATAGACAATTTTCTGTCATAGGCTGTAGTATCCATTACGAACTTCAAATACCAAATTTGAATTTCCGGTGAATAATATCGCTTAAATCACCAAAATACCGAAAATAGGAAGGTACCATTCTATGGGGGTCTATACCAAACGTGGCCCATTTTCAATACCAAAAGTCCTGCGGACATAATATACATTTGAGGAAAATTGTATCACCTACTTCATTTCGTTCTGAAGCAAGAGTGATTTCCACAGACGGACGGACATCTCTAAATCGACATAGAATTTTATGCTAATCAAGAACGTATATACTTTGGTATAAAATGTATATTTCGAGGTGTTACAAACGGTATGACAAACTTAATATACCTTCCATACCTTCCATGGTGGAGAGTATAAAAAGCCGTTTTAATTGGCTTACTTTTCTTGTTTTGCAGTCAAATAAAAAAAATGCAAAACCCGTATTTGTGTTTTTGAGTATTAGAGACTTATCGATTATAAAATGTTGTATTTGATTTTTATCATTTCTTTATTTCATTAATCCCAAAAGTATTTAAAATTATGTTATTGCGTATGTGCGTCTCTAAAACAATTTTTCATTGAAAAAAAATAAATAATTTTCAATGAAATCATAATCCGTCAATGCTACAAAAATCTTTTTATTAAGTATTAGCGGTGATTACTCAGAAAAGGAATACCTAACCTAATAAGAGGCATTATGCGTAACATAAGCCACTTGAAAATTATTAGCAAATATTGTAATTAACGTTGAGGTAATTAATAAAATTATGTGAAAAAGTTTTAAGAAATGTGAGCTGCAGAAGATTATACTATGCAAATGTTGAAAATATAATAAAAAATAGTTCCTGCTGAGATTTAAAATAATTCAGGTCAGATTTAATACTATTCTAATTAATTGAATTGAAGAGATTTGCTTGGTTGTAATATGTGGGATTGGGATTTCTGTTCGAGTGTAACAAAGGCAAATAAGTAAAAAAAATAACAGCTAAGTTCGGCTTGGAGAATTTATTATATAATCTCACCATTTGGAAGGAACTTACAAGATTTCAAAGAATTGCTTTGAAAAAATGCGGCAAAAATTCCAGAGTAGACGGTGGCTATTGCGAACTCCAAATGCCAATTATGAAAAAATGCGAGAAAAAGTGTGACACAAATCATCAGAATACCGAAGTTACAGTTGAGTGATATTTTGTCCACCTACTTTATTCCGTTCGGAGTCTAGAGTGATTTTCACAAGCGGACAGATTGGCGAGTCTAAAACGCGTATTTTGAAGAGTTACAAACAGAATACACACTTAATATACCCTTCATAGCATGGTGAATAAAAAATTAATAAAAGCACAAAATAAGTATTAGAAAAAGGATATATCACTTATTGAGATTCACTTATTCACAGATTCACGTATTGCGAATCTACGTGCTTTCGAAAATGTGGCTTTTAATTATAATCTGGCATCACTCCAATGAGAATTTTTTAAACAATTTGGGCATTTACGAAGTCGAAACTTACATTTAATAATCTTTATATTTATGAGATATTTTTAAGAAATTCTCAAGCTATTTTAAATCTCAAAATTTAATTTGACGAACAAGTAGTGAAATAGGGCGGGATTTTTAAAAAATCGAGCCTTAAGGGTATAAAAAGTACTAAAAGACACTAAATGATACGACATTGTTAGTGAGCAATTTATAAGGACATGGGGTAAGATTTTAACCGGTGCTGAGACTTCCTGTTTTAGTTTTCGGAGAGTACCATCATTGTACAGAATATTCAACCAGAACAGGACATGTCATAAAACAGTGTTGGTGGTATGTAACGTTGGACACTGCACTGTATGTGAGATGCCAATCGTACGTAGAAGTCCAGAGTAAACAAGTAAAAAAGTAGCTAAGCCGGGCAGAACTTTTAATACCCTCCACCATTTGGAATTTCAAAAAACTTCCGGAAACTACCACTTAAATGAAAACTGGGGACTATACGAAGATTGCTTACGAAATTTGTTGTCATATGCTGTAGTAGCCATTACAAACTTTAAATACGAAATTTGTTACAATTCCGGTGAATAATGTCGCACAAATCATAAAAATATCGAGTATTGGGAGGTACCATCATACTGAGGCTATATAAACACGAGGACCTGCATACAAAAATGTTTTTCATAGGCTGTAGCACCCATTACGAACTTCAAATACGAAATTTGAAATAATTCCGGTAAATAATGTCGCTGAAATCATGAAAATACCGAATATCGGGAGGTACCGTTATATGGGGGCTATACGAAGACGTAGACCTGCATACAAACATTTTTGTCATACGCTGTAATTACGAACTCTTAATATGAAATTTGAAATAATTCCGGTAAATACTGTAGCTAAAATCATGAAAATAAAAATCGGTAGGGAAAACTATGCATGTATGCAAAATGTTAGCCTTCTATCTCAATTCATTCAAAAGATAGCGTGATTACAACAGACAGACGTATGTCCGAGGGACATTGCTAGATCGTCTTAGAATTTTACGCTGATCCAAATTATATATACCTTGTAGGGTCTATTATAAATGTTTCAAGGAGTTACAAACGGAATGACAAAGTTAATATACCCTCCATACAATGGTGGAAGGTATAAAAAGGCAAAACTCCACAGGGTGAATCAAAAAGTTTCCTAAAGATAGAAAGATGGGATAGTAACTCAGGCACTGTTTAAACGCTACATTTCTAACATTCCACGTCCAATAGACTGCGAAGAGATATGTTTACAAACTTAATTCCGAGGATGCAACAACTGTTTCCCAAAAATTGAACACTTACATATATCTATTTGATACAAAAATACTTACACATCGCTCTGCGTTGTATAGACTTGATGGGTTAACGATTCCAGGGCCAGCCATTTGATGGGCAGTTTTCCATTTCCAGTTTTCTTGTAAATATTCTCCTGATACACATCTCGACTTAAGCTATTGAATGAAGAGAAAGAAATAGTTATGTTACAATCAAATGGACATGTGTACAAACAGTCACAAGTGTTTAAAATTAGATTTTAAAATTGTAAAACAATTACGTTGTTTGGTGATAAAAAATACTCACCCGAAATCGGCAATTTTCACTGTTCTATCGGGGGCAACCAATACATTTCTTGCAGCCAGATCGCGATGTACAACTTTGTTCTTTGCTAAAAAGTCCTGGAATAAAAATAACAACAAAAGTAAAATGTGAAAAATATACATTCGTCTGTTAATTTAATTGTTAGTACTATAATTAATTTGTGAAACTATAAATAAATAAATATTTAATTTATATAAAATTTAATTACACTATGCGAAAAAATAATTTCAATAATTTCTGGAAACATCCAGTAGATTATGAAAATATAGCTATCCAGTAAAAAAAGACAATAAATTCGAACTTTTAATAACCTCCATCATTGAATTCAAATGTGTTCAGCTTTAAACTAAAAATACCAGTAAGATCGTTTTGATAACGCTGTTAAACCCATTCCAGACGGGAATCTCCAAAGACAATTTTATACTTCAAGGTTTTTCATCTACCAAATCCTCTTAAATACCAAATTTGAAACAATTTCGTGGGTACATGTGATTAGGATTATCCAAATACCGAGTATCGGTGGGTATCTTTATGTTTGCACTATAGGAAAACATGGGCCTAAATTTCCAACGTTCCGCCACGGGAGCTAGAACCCATTACGAACCACAAATACCAATTTTTAGACAAATCCGTGGAAAAAGGTGGAAAAAATCGTCAAAACACGGAATATCGGGAAGTACCGTTATGTGGGGGCTACACAAAAACGTGGACTTATACATACAATATTTTGTCACCGGAGCTAGAACCCATTATGACCTACAATTACCAATTTTTATATAATTCCGTGAAAAAAATGTGGCGAAAATCGTCAAAATTACGAATATCTGGAGGTACAATTACATGGCGACTATTCCAAAACGTGGACCGGTATAATTTTCAATACCAACCATCCTAGACACAATACAACTTGTTCTGCCGAATTTTTAAGCTCTACGTCAAATAATGTGGGCTTTATCGTGATTTCAACAAACAGACATCATAAAATCCACTTAGGATTTTATGCTGATTTTGAATATATGTACTTTATGGGGTCTACGACGCATATTTAGGGATGTTACAAAATGAATGACCAAGTTAATATACCCTCCTTTTTACTGTGAGGGGTATAAAAATGTAAAACAACACGTATCGGAGGTCAGCTGAAAATGTGCACCTTCGGTTGGCCACCAGATCTCTTTTGCCGCAGACCTTGAATATTCCAACAGGACTCAGACCATCGCACTCAGCACGCGACAACCAAGAATGGTTACAAAATGAGGTTCCTCGCTTCATTTCCAGCGCACAATGGCCACCAAAATCTCCGGATACCAATTTGTTGGATTATTGTGTCTAGAGTATTTTGGAAAGCAAGGTTGGCACTAAAAAATACCAAAGTGTCGATCACCTCAAGCAAGCGCTTCGCCGGGAATGGGACAAAATACCGTAGAGCAATATTCGGGCAGCGTGTGACGGTTTCATTGTCCGTTTGAAGGCCATAATTCGTGCCAAAGGTGACCAAATCTAACAAATCTAAACTTATTCTAAAATTTGATTCTATATCCGACATTTTTTGCTTTCATTCAATAAAATTTAAAAAAATGTAAAAATTATGGCGTTTGACCTTGTTGCAGTTTTTTTTTATCTCGCCCTGTATATCTCCCATTATCCTCTTTTTATTGAGTTAGCAATTTATATTATTTCTACGGTTTTTAATTGATCTTCCCATTAAATTTGCATGTTGATATTTATATAACTCAAAGAGTTACTTGGACTTTGACATTAATCAAGAAAACAGAACATTAAGTTTTAAACGAATTGACATAATTGTGTGCCATAATCTGTTTAATACGGGAAGAAAATGCGCGATGTGTAACTATTTATCTATTTAGCAACCATGTATCTCTCTATCTGCCTATCTTTTTATTTACTACGTATTTATTTATTTACTTATGTATTTATAAGTTCATTTATTTCCTTATTTTCATTTTCCGAATTCCATTTCCCGGAACGGCAAATGAACTGATCTAATTTACATTCCTTCCATTCCGTGCCGGAGGATACCGCGATTTCATTCAAATAAATTAACTTACCATGCCAACGGCCACTTGTCGAGCGATATCAATTAAATCTCCACCGGACAAAGGAATTCTAGGTGAGTGCCATGTTTCATCTTTATTATCCGCATCTGCATCATCATCATCATGAACATTCTTATCCCCGGTCTTTGTTGACCCTTTGCTATTGCTGCCGTCATTTCTGTTTGTGTTGGCAACAATGCCACCACCATGTTTGTGGCAGTTTCCATTAACATTGTGTTTGGCTTTTCCGTGGAACAATTTGAAATAGGCTTTGTTTTCGATGGCCTTATGGTGGTGTTTGTGAGCTTTGATGTGATTTTCATTAGTTTCGTCGTCGGTGGCATTAACCTGGGTAGGGGCATGCAACTGGTGGTGGTGGTGGTGGCTCCCATTCCGTTGTAGGCACTCACAATTGTTAATCGAAATTATTGTTTTGCTGGAATGCTGCGATGCCAGTTGTAGTGGATTTTGTTGTTTCAACAGCAAACGGTCCAACTCTTCGTGCTCGTGGCATGAATCGGTTGAATCGATATTTTTGATGATGACATCAACATTGCATTTGCAGGCATTGGTGCAACAAATTTCATAACCATAGGATTTGTTTTCGGTGGCTGGTGAGCTCAACATGGTCGATGTGGCTGAATTGAAACGAGATGACGATGATGACGACGACGTGGTGGAGGAGGAAGACAATGATTGGGACGAGGATCCTGATGCTGATGCGGAGGATGCATTGGAAGCTAAAAATTTTTTCAACTGTGGTAGTGTGTGTTCCGTGTTACGTTTGTCATTCGCCTCTGCCGGCAGTGTCAATGACTCGACTGTCGTCCCTATGTTTTCAATGTCACCGCCACGCTCCTTTTCATGCTTCATGGAATTGCAGCCACCAGCAGTTTGAGCATTTTGCATGTCGTCGCAATTCTGATTCGTTAGGTCATTATATTTTCGTTTTAATTTTTCAATTACACTTTCACAGGTACTGTTCTGGAAATGTTGTTCCTTATTGTCACAATTGGCGTTGTTGTTGTTTTTGTTTTTTGCACGGTTTCCCACGGTTTCAGCCAATTGTTTATGTTTTCCATTTATATCCTGCACGATGGCTGTGCCGGGCGGTGGGGGTGGCGATGATGGTTTTTCCTCTTCGGGAAATACATTGAATTTATTTACTACACTGGGATTTGGTCCCTTGTCACCGATGTGTGGGAGTTCCACGGCAATAGGATTCGATGGAAACGACCGTTTCTTCCTTTGCATTTCATGATGGAAGCGCCATTCATTTCTGCATAGAAGTGAAAAAGAAATAAAAAATATTAGTAACGAGACATTTAATTGTTTTCTATTGTTGGCCCTTTTAAATTTATGGATGGGAATTGAATTGAATTATTGGAAGGGAACCCCAACATGTGAAGGAAAGTTAGGGACAATAAAGAAAGAAGGCGTTATATTTAGCTTGGCTTAAACGCGATCTTGAAAAAAAAACATGAAAAAAATATATAAAAATTTAAGATATACTGAAAAGTGAAAACGCCATTAAATTACTGTTCAACAAATTTAAATTTCTTCAATAATTACGGGGGAAAATCCAGCAGATTCTGAAAGTAGAGCTTAAAAAGAAGACACATTTATCGGCATTTTGAAATGTCAAGGGTCTAGATCTTATCTAAACGCCAGGAATTTATATATATTAAAAGTAAAATTCTCCAACATAACATCATCAAATTTCTCTATAAGTCACAAAAAAGATAAAGTTATATTTCCATTGTATATGGGAAATTATATATGGATCTTCCTATCTCGCCGAGCTGAGTCGATCTAGATATGTACATATGTCCGTCCGAAAAAGATAAATATAAGAAAATCGCGTAATTATATGACAATAAAAAGTGAATATTGTTTCTTACCTTTATTCAATTTTTGTCATATTTTTTATTGCATGCGATTTTTTCATATTTGACTTACAATGTTGAATTTTACGTCCGATTCTTAAGAAATTTTGCATGGTGGTAGGGTGAGAGCAATATTGTTTTTCATCATATATATTTAGAGGTTCAAACCAAAACTTAAAACTTTCGTGATCTTGAAGTTGCTCTATGGGTCACATTTAAAAACACATCGTCACGATATATCTCATGAGGTAAGAGCTTAGAACAGCACAGAAGTGTAGCATTTTGGATGATCCTTGAATTATACTGAATTATACTACATACGGGTAAAATGGACCACAGCCTTTGTGTGAAATTATTTTGGATACTTATCAGAACAATATAGAGTATATATACAGGGTGAGATAAAAAAAACTGCAACAAAGTTAAACGGCATAATTTTTACTTTTTTAATTTTATTGAATGAAAACAACAAATTTCGGAAATAGCATCAAATTTTTTAGTAAGTTTAGATTTGTTCGAATTGGTCACCTTTGGCACGAATTATGGGCCTCAAACGGCCAATGAAACCGACAACGAATGTTTTCTCATCGGAGAAAACCAAATTCGGCAGTTCACCACTTTCGGCCAAGCGAAGCAGCTCTTTAGCTCTTTTGAATATATTTTCTTTCTGTTGCGGTGTACGTTTTTGCACTTTTTGGAATTTCAATGACTTTACCCCGAGCTCATTTTTATATCCTACACCACAAGGTGGTCAGGGTATTATGTCTTTGTGCATTTGTTTGTAACAGATCTTTGGTTTGGCCCAAGGACGAACCCTATTGAAATTGGAGATAATCGGTCAAAATTTAGATATAGCTCCCATATATATCTTCGTCCGATTTGCTTTTATTGTGCACCAAACGTGTAATATCAGCCCGAATCTTATGGAATTTTGCATATACACCCAAATTAGGTCTGAAAATATGTATGCCAAATTTGATCGAAATCGGTTCAGATATAGCTATAGCTCCCATATATATTGTTCATCCGATTTGTTATTTTTGTCCACCGCCGCCGTAATATGCACTATGCAACAACAATATTTGGGGAAATATATCAAATACAGCTCAGAAATACATTTGCTAAATTTTATCGAGATCGGTTCAGATTCGGATATAGCTCCCATATATAACTTCGTCCGATTTACCTTTTTTGTGCACCAAACGTCTAATATTGGTCCAAATGGGATGGAACTTGGCACTTACGACCAAATTGAGTCTAGAAGCTAGTATGTCAAATTTGGTGAAGATCGGTTCAGATATAGCTATAGCTTCCATATATATTATTCATCCGATTTGTTATATTTGTTACCCACAATCGTAATATGCACTCCGTAACAAATATATTCAGGGAAATATATCAAATACAGCTCAGAAATATCTTTGTCAAATGTTATAGAGATCGGTTCAGATTTAGATATAGCTCCCATATATATCTTTATCCGATTTCAAATTAATTGTGCACCAAATGGGCAATACAAGTCCGAATTTAAAAGATACAAATGCTTCGGCATATTTAGTCCTTTGAACTTTAAATTATAATTATAATTATAATCATGATTGAATTCTCCCATAAAAACTTCAATTGTTATGCGAAGCTCTACTAAATTAGCAAAGTGGTGTAGGGTATCATAAAGTCGGCCCCGCCCGACTTTAAGACTTTCTTTACTGGTTTAATATTTGCCGAATGGAATATTGCAATATCTTCAGCTCACGAGCCATTTGTCGCTCCTTTACTTTTCAAACCATTTCTGCTGATGTTGCTGTTTTCATCCGTCCACTCCCTTGACGTCGGGATACGCTACCAGTATCACGGTAACGAGCGTACCAACGCTCACACATATTTAAATGCTGGATTACTCTAACTAAAGCCACTTGTTGTTTTCCAGCTAAACATAAAGAAATCACACTATCACGCTTGTAAACAATATAATGAGCTGTCATTGAAATAATTTTAACAACTGCCGGACGAGTGGCTTAGAAATGATAGCAGTCTGAAGTTTGTTGCAGTTTTTTCATCTCACCATGTATGACACCTATATATATAGTTTATTCAGAGATTTAGATAAAATTTTGTTAAAAATATTTCCTCTTTGACACTATTTGCCTAAAATGAAATACGTTCAGGCATTAACTAAAAAAGACCAACCGTTATTTTATTAAAAAAAGGAATACTTTCGGTTTTTTTGGAACATTGATGCAACAATTTTTTTGATATGCAATAAAAATACAGATTTCTTTTCTTTGGTGACTAATAGTATAATTTGATGAAGAATATTTTCGTCTTTGACGTCATCTTTCATAAATGAGGCTTTGTTGGAAAATTTTGCACAAACTCAGTCAAAGTACTGGTTTAATTCTAAAATGTGTTTTCTGAATTTCTGGCCCTTAAACCCTTGATGTCTTCTGGAACCTATAGTAGAATTTTCTGACACATAACTTTGTAGCGTATTTTGTCTTTTTACATTCCATTTTTAAAAAAAGAACCAAAAATAATTTGCTTGAAAGAGAAGACACTATATACCTAAAATGTACGGAATTCGAGAAATCTTAATTCGAAAATGTGGAAGAGGCGGGAACTTGCCCCATCTATTTTGGTTACTTTGCGATGAAAACTTTTATAAAACCGATACACTTGCCTTCTTTTTTCAGCTTTACATTCATAATCAGCTGGATACCCCGTAATCATATTTTACTCTGTGTTGTTATAAAAAACAAAACGTGGACCTATAATTACAATGTTTCGCCACACGAACTAGGACCCATTATGACCCACAAATACCAATTTTTAGGCAAATCAGTGAAAAAATGTGGCAAAAACCATCAAAATACCGAATATCGGGAGGTACCTTTATATGGGGGCTATATCAAATAATGGACCCATGCATGCAATGTTTCGCCACCGAAGCTGGAACCAATTATGACCAACAAATACCAAAATTCAGACAAATCCGTGAAAAAAATGTGGCAAAAATCATCAAATTACCGAATATCGGGAGGTCCCGTTATATGGGGGCTATACCAAAACGTGGACCTATAATTACAATGTTTCGCCACACGCTCAGGGACCTGCTATGACCTACAAATACCAATTTTAAGACAAATCCGTGATAAAACGTGGCATAAATCATCAAAATACCGAATATCGGGAGGTACCGTTATATGGGGACTATACCAGAACGTGGACCGATATATCTCATTTTCAATACCAACCATCCTAGACACAATGCAAATAGCTCTGCTAAATTTTGGAGCTCTACGTCAAATAATGTGGGCTGTATCGTGATTTCAACAGACAGACAGACAGACAGACGGACAGACAGACAGACGGACAGACAGACAGACGGACATCGTTAAATCGACTTAGAATTTTATGCTGATTATGAATATATATATACTTTATGGGGTCTAAGACGAATATTTAAGGATGTTACAAACGGAATGACAAAGTTAGTATACCCTCCTTTCCAAGGTGGAGGGTATAAAAATGATTGGAAATGTGTTTAGAGACTCTGGGGTAACCGTCGCCTTGGGGATATGTTCAAATCTGTACCAGCATTGAATTGAATATTCAAAAGAAATTTGGGTCATTTAGTTGGACAATGTGTTAGGGATATTAAAAGTACACATCATTTGACGGTACAGTTGTATGGGGCAATTCCGGAGCCGGACCAATATTAATAGTTTTTTTTACGATACAGAATATCGACTGGAAAAGATAGCTAATTTGGTTGCAACTTTTGGCTAATACCTATAAAACGTCAAAATGCAGGAAGTAAAACAGTATGCAAGTAGATACTCTAATGAATGATGTCAAATTGGGGTAAAATATAGAAAATTGAGAGTTTCAAACACTTGGAGTTTATACCAAACGTATATATACTTAAAGGGGTTTTTGGAAATATTTCACGATCATGAAGTGAAGCCTGGGATCTATGTAGATTTTTTTAACTAATAATTTTAAAAACTTTTATGAATTGTTTCGATCTCTTTTAAAGGGTGTTTTTACTATATTTTGAAAAAGGGGTCAAAAACACACGCCGGAAAGACGTTTCATACATCTTCGGGCCCAATACGGCTGCGCCATCCTAAACTTAATTGTAAAACGATGTTGGTTTGTCTAAGCTGCAGCGGTTCTTCAGCTGCAATGAATGACGGTGGACTCCGAGGGCGGTGTTTATACTGAAGTTGTTGATGGCAGACGTGCCTGGAAGGTCTTTTTAGTCCAGAGGTTTTCTCTTAAAGCTTTGGGATGGAGGCAGGTCATACGGTTACTTTTAAGGGGAACATATTCTGATGTTATCTCTATTAAAAATCGGCCATCGGTAACCCAACAAAAGTAAACCTTTTCAAGGAAAGAATACACCTTCTAGAAAACGAGTGGAGTATTCCATTTTATTTATTTCATTCAAACTACTTTGCATACAATGAAAATTTGTTCCTGAGAATTTTTCTCGAAATTTGAAGTAATTATTTTCAAATTCCATTTACAACATACCTTAAAAAGTCCAGCAAATTGCCAAAACTACAGTATTCGGTCAAGAGCATCATATCCTCGCCAAAGCGTGTGCAATGGCCAATAATTCCAACAATATTTGGATGTTTCTCAACAGATTTCATAACCTCAATTTCTCGGCGAAATGCTCGTATCTCATCGGTACTGGGATGATCTGTAAATGAATTTGAACGTAAATGTCGATACAGAGACACACTCCCACACACATTTGCATCATATAGAACGCTATTCGCTTTTCGCAAATTTTCTTCGTTTACCTTTCAACATTTTTACAGCCACTTCATGCAGCGCATTGGTTTTGCTGTCTCTGTAGACGCCACGTTTCACCAAACCAAACGCTCCTTCGCCCAGTACTTCGTGTAGTGTCAAGTGGTTGCGGTTAATTTCCATTTCATCGTTGAATAGCACAGCATTCTCCTCGTTATCCAATTGAAAGGTTCGATCGTCGATTGTTGATTTAATGTTGTTGGCGCAGACATTGGAATTTCCATTCAGTGTGTGCATAAAATCGAAGGTATCCTTGGAATCCGAGGGCGCTTTCTTTTCTAGTTCCTGTGGAGGGGAAAATAAAGTACAGATGTAAATAAATAGAATAATGTGTTAAGGGTGTGTGAAAAAAATGCACAATCTATATCTATAAAAGAGGAAAATGTTTGTTTGTTTGTATTTTATAGACTCGAAAGCCGCTAAACAGATTTTCCTGAAAATTTCCAAGTATACTACAATATTGCCGAAAGTAACATAGGCTATATACATTTTTAAAATTCACCTTGGAACTGGCATCAGAATCGGACTCCTCCGTACCTCCCAAAAAATTAGATTATATATGCACATATTTATTGATCGATTACAGATACAGTCTCCAAATTTGGAATGCTGAACGGAATTGGAAACAAAAATAAATCTGCAAAATTACATTGAAATCGGTACAAATTTGAATAAAGCTCCCATATATATTTTCGGCCGATTTCATGTATGGAATGCACCATAAATACTATGTATCTCTAATTTCAATGAAATTTGGAATGCGTAACGGAATTTAAAACGAACATACATTTGTAAAATTATATGGAAATCGGTTCAGATATGGATATAGCTTTCATGTATATTTTCGACCGATTTCGTTTATTTGATGCACCAAACACGATATGTATGTTCTGTTTTAATGCAATTCGGAATGAGTGACGGGATTTGATCAGAAAATAAAATTCCCAAATTATATTGAAATCGGTTGAGGTTTGGGTGTAGCTCCCATACATATATTTCGGTCGTATTCAGGTAAAGGGTGAGATAAAAAACTGCAACAAAGTTCAACGCCATAATTTTTAATTTTTTTTATTTTATTTAATGAAAGCAAAATATATCGGAAATAGCATCAAATTTTAGAATAAGTTTTGATTTGTTCGAATTGGTCACCTTTGGAACGAATTATGGTCTTCAAACGGCCAATGAAACCGCTCACACGCGCACACGCTGCCCGAATGTTGCTCTACGGTATTTTAGCCCATTCCCGGCGAAACGGGTATTTTTTAGTGCCAACTTTGCTTTCCAAAATACTCCAGACACAATAGTCCAACGGATAGGAGGTATCCAGAGATTTTGGTGACCATGTCACCAATGTCCAAGGTCTGCGGCCAAAATGTTTGCGTGCCCAAGGCTTTAATACACCCTCCAGAATATTTTCGAGATAATATTGGGCATTTATTCTGATGCCACGGTCGATTGTTGTTATGGCGGCCCAAACCATCATCATGGCCGGCGCTTGAGTTCTGGTGGCCAACCGAAGGTGCACACCTCTTTGGCCAGTAAACATGATCATTTTGTTTGTTTACAAACTGCTGGACAACGAATGTTTCCTCATCTGAGAAAACCACATTCGGCAGTTCACCACTTTCGGCTAAGCGAAGCAACTCTTTAGCTTTTTTGAGTCTATTTGCTTTCTGTTGCGGTGTAAGTTTTTGCACTTTTTGGAATTTCAATGGCTTTACCCCGAGCTCATTTTTTAATATTTCGCGAATGATATACTATTGCGATATGTTCAGCTCACGAGCCATTTTTCGGCCACTGCGACGCGGTCGATTCTCTACTTTTCGAAATATTTCTGCTGAGGTTGCTGTCTTCTGCCGTACACTTCCTTGGCGTTTGTATGCTTGTAAACAATATAATGAGCTGTCACTGGAATCATTTTAACAGCTGTCAGACGAGTGGCTTAGATATTGCAGCAGTCTGAAGTTGGTTGCAGTTTTTTCATCTCACTCTGTATACCCTCTTTAGCCTTATGGGCTGGAGTATAAAGACGAGGAACAGTATACACAACAATGGTTATTTAGGCTTACGCTGTAAAAAGTAAATAATAAATAAGAACCAAAAATATTTTTTCATATAAAATTCTATAGGAATAGAAAATGTCCATGTGGACCTTATGCGAAGGGCAACGGATAACTCAATTGTTCCCCCAATTAAGAATACTTTGCAATGAAAACTTTAAAAACGCTGGTACACGTGCTATTCTATTTTTAGTTTTTTTTGTTTGGTTTGTTTTGGACTTCTTGACAGGTAGCAAGTAGCTCTCATTATTTTTTAATAACTCCTAGGGAGAATAACTCCAGTCAAGAACAAAGGGACAATAAAAAATTACAATGGGATTAAGTTTGGCTATTTTGCAACAACAAAATTACCATGGTATCCCAAATAAAATGCCAACAATGGTATTTAAAAATAAAACAAGTAAAAAAACATTAAGTTCGGCCGGGCCAAACTTTAAATACCCTCCACCTTAGGGTAAAATAAACATTAGAAGAAATGTGGCAAAAACCATTAAAATGCCGATTATGGGGAGGTACCGTAATATGGGGGCTACACCAAAACGTGGACCTATAATTACAGTGTTTCGCCACACGAACTAGGACCCATTATGGCCCACAAATACCAATTTTTAGACAAATCAGTGAAAAAATGTGGCAAAAACCATCAAAATACCGAATATCGGGAGGTACCGTTATATGAGGGCTATACCAAATCATGGACCCATACATGCAATGTTTCGCCACCGGAGCTGGAACCCATTATGACCAACAAATACCAATTTTTAGACAAATCCGTTAAAAAAATGTGGCAAAAATAAGCAAAATACCGAATATCGGGAGGTACCTTTATATGGGGACTATACCAAAAACCATCAAAATACCGAATATCGGGAGGTACCTTTATATGGGGGCTATATCAAATAATGGACCCATGCATGCAATGTTTCGCCACCGAAGCTGGAACCAATTATGACCAACAAATACCAAATTTCAGACAAATCCGTGAAAAAAATGTGGCAAAAATCATCAAATTACCGAATATCGGGAGGTCCCGTTATATGGGGGCTATACCAAAACGTGGACCTATAATTACAATGTTTCGCCACATGAACTAGGACCCATTATGACCCACAAATACCAATTTTTAGGCAAATCAGTGAAAAAATGTGGCAAAAACCATCAAAATACCGAATATCGGGAGGTACCGTTATATGAGGGCTATACCAAATCATGGACCTATACATGCAATGTTTCGCCACCGGAGCTGGAACCCATTATGACCAACAAATACCAATTTTTAGACAAATCCGTTAAAAAAAAAATGTGGCAAAAATAAGCAAAATACCGAATATCGGGAGGTACCTTTATATGGGGACTATACCACAACGTGGACCTATACATGCCATGTTTTGCCACAGGCACAGGGACCCGTTATGACCTACAAATACCAATTTTCAAACAAATCAGTGACAAAATGTGGCATAAATCATCAAAATACCGAATATCGGGAGGAACCGTTATATGGGGACTACACCAGAACGTGAACCGATATATCTCATTTTCAATACCAACCATCCTAGACACAATGCAAATTGCTCTGCTAAATTTTGGCGCTCTACGTCAAATAATGTGGGCTGTATCGTGGTTTCAACAGACAGACGGACATACAGACAGACAGGCAAACGGACGTCGTTAAATCGACTTAGAATTTTATGCTGATTATGAATATATATACTTTATGGGGTCTACGACGAATATTTAAGGATGTTACAAACGGAATGACAAAGTTAATATACCCTCCTGTCCAAGGTGGAAGGTATAAAAAACTACAATGGGAACTACTAAAACCCGAGTATTCAAAGCTCAAGTATTAACGAGCTATTGCGCAGCAAGGTTTTAGATTTTTTTAACACATTACTTCAGTGAAACTCACCTATACTCCTATTATTTATTCCCAGCATCACGTTTTCTTGGAAATCCAACAAAATTCATAGGAATGCCCGGAACGGTTAACTTTCTTTTAATGATTTTCACAGAAGTTGTTTTTTAAACAACAAGAGAACATTCCTTTCTCTATTATTTTACATTTTCATGTGCTTTCTGGCTGGAAATGTTCACGCAAAATACGTTTTACGTAATTTCGCCTGAAGTAATGCTGCAACAATATACCCACCCAGACATTCGCAGAATAAAATGACATTTGACTTTGTGCCCTGGCTTTCGGCTTATTTAATGTACACTTCTGAGAAGCACTGATAAAACCGGGACATGTGATTAATTTCTTCTTTTCACAAAATTTAAAGGAACCTCCACCGAACAGGGAAACATTTTCAATTTATTTGTGTTTGCGTTTTGTTTTAACTCATGCCAGGACAATGACATGTCAAAGGAAAACCTCGATATGTAACAAAGGACAAAAAAAAAAAGGTAAATCAAAGGAGTTTATTCGTAAAGGAGTGATTATATGACACACCATACACTGACATGGGAGTAAAGGTTTCCTTGTTTATTATCACATAGCTAAATGGAGTCATCATTTCGGGTGTGGGGAGTTTCAAATTATCATGTAGTTCCATGTAGTAAATATAAAATGCGGAAATATTTTTTTTTATCATTTTTAGGATCTTTGTTAATGGAAAGAGATTATGCCTTTGGATATTAGCGATTGACACATTTATTTAATATATGAATATTGACTAGATTTGAATCACTTTACTGGTATATTGCTGCAGTAAATTTTTACGCAGCAAAACCTTGGAAGCGATTAACCTATTAAAATGCAATGCAAACAAACTATATAAACCTCATTATCAATTAATATGTTTAAATTAGGCATATACAGGGCGACATAAAAAAAAGCTGCAACAAAGTCAAACGCCATAATATTTACAATTTTTTTCTTTAAATTTTATTGATGAAAGCAAAAATTGTCGGCCGGCGCTTGAGTTCTGGTGGTCAACCGAACAACCGGTGCACATTTTCAGCTGACCTCTTTGGCAAGTAAACACGATTATTTTGCTTGTTTACAAACTGCTGGACATCGAATGTTTTCTCATCGGAGAAAACCAAATTCGGCAATTCATCACTTTCGGCCAAGTGAAGCAACTCTTTAGATTTTTTGAGTCTATGTTCTTTGGGTTGCAGTGTATGTTCTTGCACTTTTTAGAATTTCAATGGCTATACTCTCATTTTTCAATATTCGCCGAATGGAATATTGCGATATGTTCAGCTCACGAGCCATTTTTC